ATCTGTCTCCCTTGCATTTTTTTTTTTTTTCTGATTTGTTCTTGAACTCCGGTTCTGGTGCTGTTGAGGTTCAGCTTTTGACTCCTATGGTGGCTGCCACTGGGCAGGAGGGAAGTGACCTACTTCCCAGCAAGGGACTGCAGGCAGGGCCAGGAGGTCCCCCTTGGAACATCCAGGAGAAGACAAAGGGTGGTAGAACTACTTAGCATCCATACAGGGGCAGGGCAGACCTCCCGGATGAAAGCTCCAGCTCTCCTCCCGCACTGATCCCCACTGGCTTCAGTCCATGGCCAGATTTTTAGAGCCCAAACTTCATTCATTCTGTCTCCCTCTCTAAGATGTAACTGTATAATTAACAATTTCCTTGGACAGAAGAAAGAAAGAAGGTTGTTCTGGAGTCTCACTAGAGACTCCAGAGGAAGTCTGGAGGAATTGTAGCCATGAGCAAATGGCCAGCCCTGTCTGCTGCCTGCCTAGCAGGGGGCTCCTGGAAGCACTGCTCATAGACCACACATCCAATTCTAGTCCCCAGGGAGGTCCCTGGATCCACACAGAGTTGGTTTGGCTTTTAATTCAGCTATCTCAGTGCCCCAACTAAACCACAGATTTAGAAGTCCAAAGAAGGCACATCTCTGCAGCAGCAAGCTGATCGGAGCCTAGGTGCTGAGGTGCACCCCCAACGGCAGCCAGACAGGTCTGTGTTTCCAACCAAGCACCTTCTCTTGCATTTATCTGTATGAACCCAATAATTCTTTTTGCTGTACTTATTTTTTACTTGGGAAACCCTTTGATGCTTAAAATCATCATTAAGGAAAAATAAAACTAGGTTGGCTTTTTATACAGGTTCCTAGAGTTGAATGCAGGTAACTTATAAACTTGAATCTACAGTGGGCAATTATCTGTGAAGGGGATTTAGATCCATGGGCACCAATGCATTCTGTGGGCTCCATTCGAGTGGGTCAGCTCTGTCCCACTCTCCATGACTCACCAGCGTCTGGTATGATGCACAGGATGGAGGGTATGTTGGAAGAAAGGAGGGAGGGAAGGAAGAGAAGGAAGGGAAGGGAGGGAGGAAGGAAGGAAGGAAGGAAGGAAAGAAGGAAGGGAGGGAGGGGAGGGCAGGGGAAGGGAGGGGAGGGAGAGAGGAAGGGAAGAAAGAAGGAAAGAATGGAGGGAGAGAAAAAGGAAAGGAGGGAAGAAAAAGGAAAGGAGGGAAGAAAAAGGGAAAGAAGAAATGGGAGGGAGTGGTAAGGGAAAGAGGAAGAAAAGGAGAGTGAGAGGGAGAAGAGAGAGGAAAAGAGGAAGGAAGAACGGGAGGGAGGGAAGGGGCAGGAAGGGAGAGAGGAAGAGCCTATGGGAAGGAAGGGAGAAAGGGAGGAGGGGAGGAAGAAAGGAAGGGAGGGAGGGAGGAGAGGAGAAAGGAAGAAAGGGAGGAGGGGAGGAAGAAAGGAAGGGAGGGAGGAGAGGAGAAAGGAAGAAAGAGAGGGAGGAAGAAAGGGAAGGATGAAAAGAGGAAAAGAAAAAATATGTTCTTTTCCTGGTTTCAGTAGCTCTATGAGGTTTTAAGCTTAAAAAACAAACAGAAAACAACAACAAACCCATATAAGAACAGCATGACCTTGAAGTCCACAAATTGCCCAAATCCTTGTCCAACTCAACTCTTTGCAAAGCAGAAAGATGGCACCCAGGCCTGGCCTGTATCATTTGAATCCTCTGCTCACTTCACCTTAAAAACTGGTTTTGGTAGGAAGACCCTGGGCAAAGGTGGGTGCTGACTTTTCTAGAGAGGGCTGAGGAGACAAGCCTGAGGGCTCAAACCTGCCAGAGGGAAAAGGCTCTAGCTATAATTAACAGCAGTTGTACTATGAAGTACATAATTGCTATTCCTCAAGACTACAGCCAAGTGCCAAGATTCCTCATATGAACCATGTAAAATGGGCAACAGCACCCCCACCTTACAGCTGGAAGGAAAAACAGCTCAGAAAGTGACTTGTTTTAAAAAAAAAAAAAGAAAGCAAGCGATTTGCTCAAGGTCACAGAGTGCATCCCACTCACATAAGGGGCAAAATCTAAGAGGTGCCAAAAAACTCAGGAACCAAAACCAATGATAATACATTTTAAAAATCAAAATTTAAAAATTCATGATGGACAAAATATCAACATTTTAAATAACATCTTATGTGACCTGCCTCATCTCCTTCATCTTAGTCCCAGCCCTGGATTCTAGAGTCTAGAGAATTTGAACTCAAGTCTGATTTCTAGTCTGTCCTCAACAACCCCAGCCTGTATGCTACCACTAGACCCAGCTATGCAGAAGCTTGAACAGCTCTAGCATGAGCCCTGCATTTAAGCCACCATTCATAAGGGAGCAAAGACCACTTTGGGATCATTCTCAAAAAGCTCTGGGCAGATTGCTCTGTGTGACTCTGCCTGGGGAGCTAGGTGAGCAAAACCGGCAGAAAAAAACCCATTCGCTAGCTCCAGGAATGAGAGGTGTGACGTGGAGAAGGAGGTGGGGCTAGGAGAAAGTTGGCTAAGAGCCGTGACCTAGCCAGGGTCTCAGGCTCATCCAAGTCCATCCCGACCCAAAGCCAAACCCAAGCCAAGAGCCGCAGGTGGCAAAGAAGGAGGTGAATTCTACAGCCAGGTGGCTTCTGAATGACCAGGGGGACTCTCCCACCCTCGCCTCTCACTGCCATGTTCCGATGTTAATGCCTTTGTACCCAAGGGAAAGCCAAGATCTGGGCAAGAGAGATGAGTTGTCCAGAGTGTGGGCAGCGCCAGAGCCTTCTGGGGGTTTCTGCATGCACCTGCCTGTCCTGCCCCTGGAGAAGAGCAACTGTGGTCGGCTCTGTGGGTGTGGGTGGGAGGTCTTGGATCTGCTAGGGCTCTGAATCCATCAAGAGGCTAAAAGTCTAACAGAAGGCAACGCCAAAGGACTGGGCAGGCAAGGATTGGAAGTGGAAGCCAGAGATCTCAAGAGGAAGTGGGAAGCTGGGGGATGGGAGGAGGAGTTGGGGTCCTGAAAAGAGCACAGAGAACAAGGAACTTGGACACTGGGGTGGCAGTTCTGACTCTTGGTTAAGACTGAGTGATCCTAGGAAGCCCGGCCCTTGATGCACCTTCATCACACTAATTTTCTTTCTCTCTCTCTCTCTCTCTCTTTCTTTCTTTCTTTTTTGGCCCCCAGTGCACCCCTGCCAGGCCCTTGGGGAGTGGGTCAAGAATTGCTGAGGATGGGGACCTGGGACTGGGGAGAGTGGCCTGCCTCCTGCTGTGTGAACAGGGGCTCAGAGAGGTTGGGCATATTGCCGAGGCTCACCCCCAGCTCCTTTGGACCTGGAAGCCCTGATACCCCACGCGACCAACCAGGCCTCTTTCCCAAAGAGGGGAAGGTAGGGTGGACTCAGGCTCCCCTGGACGCTGAGTAAATTCCCAGCTAAACGAGAGCTCAGGTGAGCGCCCAAAAATCTCTTCCGCCGGGGACAGGGTGAGATGCAAGACGCACACCGATAATGGGAAAATCAGAGGAGAAGGCACCTGCATGGAGCTGGAAATCCCCAAATCGGAATAAAACGATGTTATCGAGAAAGGGCTAAATCCTAGAGTAAATTTCAAACGAAATAAATCGCACAGCACATTTTAGGTGATAATAGACGGCGGTAACTCAATACTAATGATAGCGTACTGACAACCCGCCAATATTCTTGGGCTCCAAGAAGCCCGGCAAAAGCGGCTGGAGCGGCAGGAGGTCCGGCTTTGCTGTTCTTTCCCACCGGGAGAGGTTGGAGCCACCCTCACTCCGGGCCGCTCTCAATTGATCGCAGCTCCCCTCGCTCCAAAGCTTCGCTTTCGCTGGGTCCAGGATCCAAACCCCAACCCAAGAGCCAAAGGCCAGAAAAGGCCCCGGCATTGCCAGCTGCTTGTCGCCCTGGGGAGGGGCGGCTTGGGACCCGCCCGGGGCAGAGAAGGACAGAGGAGGATGCGGACGCTCTGGGGACCAGGCGGTCCCGCGGATGCTCGGCCAGGGGCATCGCCATGGCTAACAGGCGGGTTGTGGAGCGGAGGGGGCTCGCCGTCGATCTAAGTGAGGATCTCGGTGCTCCGGGGAAGATGAGATTCCTTAGGGGATGCGGGTGCAGGCCTGGGAAACAGGGGAGGAGTGGGTGATGGGGAGGGAAGTGGGGTCTCCAGAGACGCCCAGAGCAGGAGCAAGGCCAAGCTGGGGACTGGCCTGGAAGAGCCAGGGCAGCCCACTCTCCTCTTGATTTATGGCCCCCTCCCAATCCACCAAACTGAAATGAGCGGCCGGCCCGGCCCGCCGCGGGAGGTGCCCACTGCAGTGGCCGCCGCCGATCCAGAGCCTGGGCCCCCGCCCTCCCGCCTCTCCGACAGCTTGCAGCCGAGCCGGGCCACCATCCCCTGGGAGCCGCCCGTCCTCACCCCCAGCCCGGCCGGCGGCGGGGCCGCTTCCAATCTGCCGGCGGGCACAGGGGGAGAGCGCGGGGAGCCGGGCGCGGGGCCACCGCCGACCTAGCCCGAGGGAGGAGGAAGTTTTTGCTCCGCCCGACCACGCCAGGGTTTGGAGGGCATGAGGGTGCCTCACGATTCGCTGCGGTCTCGGTCGCTGAGCCCGACGTAGGGGCCGGGGTAGTTTCCTGGGGGCTGGGGATGGTGGCAGGGGCGTGCGGGCCGGGCTGGAAAGGCCTGGCTTCCCGAGCCTGCGGGGGTAAAAGGACGCCTCTGACCCGCCCGGCCTCGATGAAGGCGTTTGGGTTCCTCTCTGAAAGCCCTTTCCACCGCAGACCTGGGTTGTGATCCCTGGGGCTGTGCAGAGAGGATCCAGGCCCGGGACACACTTCGGATCTGTCCGCGGTCCTGGGCCCCAACACGGGGCTGACCCTAGAAAGGCGCTGGACTGGAGCCCTTGACGGGGTGGGAAGGGCGAGGGGTCGCATGATTCACAATGAAAAGGCCACGTTTCCAGAGTTGCCTTGAAAATGCATCCCTGGACGAGCTCTGGCTCTGCGTGGAATAAGAAGCCGTTAGCAGGCGTCTACACTCGCACTCGGAAGCTCTTGCGCGGGTCCTGTTCAGAGGTACGACAGCACCGGCCCCTCAGGAGGTGCCCATAGGAGAGGCCATCAGCGGGGCTGGGCGGGTTACTGCTTTCTTTGTCCCTTGCGCTGCCTTCCTTGAGCCACACGGATTTCTTGAGGTCTCCCTAACGCCCCAGACAAGATCTTCCAACCTCGCCCTGAAGTGAAGTCCTCCAATCTCGCCCTGAAGTGAAGCCATCGGTCTGGTCACTTCCCGGGCAGACACCTGGCTTTCCCCACCCCCGCCAGGCCCACGGGTCCCAAGAGGCCAGAGAGACAGGACTGCAAATTGTCCTACAAGGGAAACACCCAGAGCCCAACAGAAATGCTGCAAACAACATAACTTGAATTTTCTTCCCCACACTAGAAAAGGGGTTATCGACACACACACACACACACACACACACACACACACACACACACACACACACTTCTTTCTCCGCTGGGTTTAGTCCCTTTCTGCTGCTAGAGGAAGAAAAACGAGGGAAGAAAAAGGATCTACGACAGACCTGCGGACGAATAATTGGAATAATTGTGGGAAAGGGTCGGGGAACGCTAAAAAAGCCCAACGCACATCCCAGTCCACCGCAGCAGCAGTCGGCTCGCCCCCTCCCCGCCAGCCGTACCCCCCTTGGCTAATCACCCTCATTAGGAGCTTCGTCACCGGCCTAATGAAAGCAAACCGTGTGGAAATCGCCGGTAAACAGTTGGGTCTGTGCGGTAATTAATTCAGTGTCTCTTTTAATCAAACTGAAAGGGAATCGGGCAGCGGCTTGCGGAGCCGTGACATCACCCCCAAAATCGGCCAGAGCCAATCAGCGTCATCACTCCGGGGACACGTGGGCGAGTCTCCTTTAAAAAAAACACAACACAACGAAAAAAAAAGAAACCAAAAAAAAAAAACCCCAGACCCAAAGTAAAAGTGACACAAGTTCATTTTTTAAAGGAAGGGGGGGAGGAGAAGGCGCGCGCGGACCGGCAGAGAGCTGCCGCCGAGGAGCAGGGAGGCGCTGTCCACGGTGCTGACGGGCCCCCGGAGCGGCGAGGGCGCGGAGAGAGGACCTCCCTGGCCAGGTGGAGCGTCATGAGCCGCTGGCAGCCGCCTCCGCCGCTCTCCGCGGTGCTGATGCCTCCAGGTGCGCTCCGTTCCGCCGGCTGCTAGCGCGGCCCGGGCCCGCAGCTATCCGCGGTGCTGACCTCGCCACCCTCAGCCACCGCTTGCCTGGAAGAAGCGTGCGGTTTGGATTTTTAAAACGCCATTCTTTATTTAGATTCCAACATCCTCGCGTTTCTTCTGTGCCAAGGGGCCCTCGGGCCGTCCGTCTCCCCCTTTGCTCTCCCCAACTTGGCGCGCCCTCCCTCCCATTCCTCCCTGACACTCCCACCACCCCCCCTCGGCTCGGCGGCTCGGCGCGATGCTGCAGAAGACGCACTGAGTCCTTTTGGATCTAATGCGCAGAGGAGGTTGGCCCAGAGCTCCTGGGCTCCCCCAAGGCTGAACTCCGTCCAAGGTGCCCGCAGGCTCCCTGCCCGCCTTCCCCATGCCAGCCCGCAGCTAGGGGCAGGGGCAGCGGCGGCTGGGGTTGGGGGTGGGTGGGGAGCTTTTGGGGAGGATAGGTCGCAGCTTGGCTATGGAAGGCTCCAATGGCTTTGGGATCGACTCCATTCTCTCCCACCGCGCGGGCAGCCCCGCCCTTCCCAAGGGGGACCCCTTGCTTGGGGACTGCCGTTCGCCCCTGGAGCTGAGTCCACGCTCAGAGAGCAGCAGCGACTGCTCTTCGCCAGCCTCTCCAGGAAGGGACTGTCTGGAGACGGGCACCCCACGGCCTGGTGGGGCATCTGGCCCAGGTTTGGACTCCCACTTGCAGCCCGGGCAGCTCTCAGCCCCGGCCCAGTCGCGCACCGTCACCTCCTCCTTTCTGATCAGGGACATCCTTGCCGACTGCAAACCACTCGCGGCCTGCGCACCCTACTCTAGCAGCGGGCAGGCGGCAGCCCCTGAGCCTGGGGGCCGCCTTGCGGCCAAGGCCGGGGAGGACTTTAGAGACAAGCTGGACAAAAGTGGCAGCAACGCCTCATCGGACTCTGAGTATAAAGGTAAGAAAGCAGGAGGTGAAAACTTGGGGGGATGCTATGTATCTAAAAACTGGCATTTAAAACGAGTACACATGGCAGGACACGCACTCGCTCACCTGGGGGCTCCCCCAGGGCTCAGGTTGAGCAGTAGTTCTCCTCGGAACATTTCGGCCAGTCCTGTGGTTATGCCTTTGAGTAACAAAGAGCCTGATGGAGAGAGTGGGGGCAGGGGAGGGATACTGTGTGCCCGATGGGAGGTTTCCCCAAAATGCATGAAGCAAACTTTCTAAACTTCGACTGGGACCCCTGCCCTTCCAGCAGTGCTGGGGGACAGGAGCAGGTTCCAATCAGGCCAGTGGCTCTCTAGGAAGAAACCTTGCAGAAGCAATGGAAGACTCAAAGGGTTCTGCTTTATAAGAGTGAAAATATAGCAGAAAAATTTCAGCTGGAGCCCTGAGAACAGTCAGAATTTTCTGCCTTTTAATCTACATTTCCAGACAGGAAGAGAAAATGGGTTTTTCCTCCCAACGGGCCCAGTGTGATCCGGGTCCTGTGAGTCATGAAAAGAGGCACTCACTTCAAAGCAGAAACCTCAGCTAGGCAGCTTCCTGGGAGCAGGTCAGGGGGCTGGTGGAGAGGGCAGTACCCTGCACCCTCCCACCAAGGGCTCTCACTGAATTTGATTTTAAGTGCCTTGACCAACCAACTCCAGGTTTTATGCAAGTTCCAGGGATTCCTGAGTAACCAGCCTTGTCTGCCGCTACACTGGGGTTGTTGCCTCTCCACTTTTCTTTTTACCTCTATGAATCTTTGTGTCGTTTGCTCCATTTTCATCCCATCTTAACCAAGGAGATGAGATCAGGGTTCAAAGGAAAGGGAGAAGGAAGGAGGGAAAGAAGGAAGGAAGGAGAGAAAGGGAAGAAAAAAAAAAGAATTCCCTAATTTTGTTTCTGACCCCCAGCCACTACCTCCACTTTAGCTGTTTCTCAAAACCAGAGGCAAAAAGTTCTTTCTAAGGAAGAAGTCAAGGGGCAGAAGGTGAAGAGGAGTATGAGGGCTTCATGGGAGACAGCCCCTAGCAGAGCACTCGGAGCGGGCAGAGGCTGTTCAGAGCTCTTTCAAGCATATAATTGATTCCCAGAAATCTTTTCAAGAGACAAAATTTCCCTGTAAGGGCAACTTCTTTATTGTCTTGCCCCCTCCCCCAACAGCACCCCCCTCCTGGTGCCGTACCTCCTGATCCCTATTTGGACCAAGTTTTCACAAAATTTTAGGAAGGCTCATTTGACACTCTCCTCCCAACCAAGAATTCGTTTGTGGATATGTCCTAACTCCAAACCGAAATTCATTGGTCCGACTGCACATCCCATTTTCCTGATTTCCCCCACACAAATGGCCGAGCCTCCTTCAGCCAGACTGTGCCGACCATGCCTGGAAAGTAGGCAGGTTGAACAGAGCAGCCAGGAGGAGATCTAGAGGCATGCGGGTGCCCACAGGCCGGCACCTGCCCAGTGGCCCTTGCTCCTTCCCCGCGGGGGCCTGCTTAGAGAGGCAAAGAAAACTTGCCCTGGAGAGAGACTGGCATGGGGAAGGGGGAGGAGAAAGAGGGGGAAGTCAATGTAAATATATACTCATAACATCACGGTTATTATTTAGCATTTGCAACAAGAACGGCCCCGCTTTAGTTAGAGCAAAGGGCACGAATCTTCCACCGCCCATGCTAATGGCTGCAACTGGCAATGGTAACACAGCTTGGTCCTTGCCTCCTTTTATTTCTTTGCCCTCAGGAAGGATTTTGAGGACAGGTTTCGTTTAAGATAGTTAGAATATCAATTTTCTTCTCCTGTCTCTGAGGATATCTGATCGGGAGGTGACGGAGGTGACGAGGGCCGGCTGTCTACATATCGCTTAAATAGGTTTGGAGCGAAGGGGTTAGAAGGTCTTGCCCAACCCCCACCCCAGGTGTTGCTGCCTTTGCCCCTAGTGAAAAAAGGAGCAGGGCCAGGGAGCCAGGCCTTGTCTGGAGCGTTTCTCAAACACGGAGGTGACTTTTTCAGAGCTCAGAAACAGACACCCCGAGCCAGTCCGTGGAGCATTTAAGCTAATCTACTCTCCAGCCGCCTTCCAAGCTGAGTCATTTCCTTCAAGGAGGGCATGGGGGAAGGTCAGCCTCATCCCAAGTTTCTGCTATCAAAGGCTCCTCAAACAACATTTCTTTGATAATATTTAAAGAAGCCAAAACTCAGCTTTGAAGTAAGGCGGTCAGCGACACTAGCGGCTGGATCCAAGGTCCATGGAGAACCCAAACCAGAGTTTTGTTCCCAGCAGGCAGGGTCGGTGGATGGGCCTGGAACTCGGGGACACTGAGATGCAGCCTCTAGAATCAGAGTTTGGGAAGCCAGTACCCCCCTGGGCTGAGCCTATCCAGGAGGAGGCCAAGGCAGAGCAGGCACAGGAGGTGCATTCAAAGCCCACGCTGGAGGGGGAACAGAAGAAAAGCCCCATTAGGTGATCCATTCTTCCTGACACCACAAACTCAACACCTCCCGACCTCCAACGCAGACCTCGTCCCTGAGAAGTGGGGGATTTTCATTAAGTAGTCCAGGCAATTAGGTCAAAAAGTAAGAGTTCTACGATATTGAGTTTGAGATTTGGATGATCGTTTCCTCAAACTTATTTAAACTATCTGTCTGCACAGACAGAACTCAAGTCCCCCCATCCCAACACATCCCCTTCTCCTGATGGTAGCCATGCCCAAATATGGGGAGCCCACACGGCAGGGAGAGCCTGGTGCCAGCCTGGAGGAGGCAGGTGGAAAGCCTTAGCCGGCCGGCCGCCGTTCCTCCTCTGAGCTCTCCTGGCTCACCAGGCTGGATGCCAGGCCCTCCTTGCAGCGAAGCGCTGCCTTTTCAGTTGAAAAGTCTCGATCCCTAGTGGCTCAATTAACCGGATTATTGTTTCCTACAGAGAGAAATCACCTTGCATTCAGCTGAACCCTCTCACTGCAAATGCCAGGCACAATGAAACTCCACCATAAAAGAAAACAGAGAAAAAAGGGAGTAGGTTGGGGGAAAGCCCCAGTCTGAGCCGCCAATGTTGGGGAAATGGTCTAGTTGGTTATATAATTGCTTTAGAGGGAGAAGGAGAGTGAGCATTTAGCTTGTTCGATTAAGTGTTTTCTGTGCAGTCAAAGCCGAACGAAAGTGTTTGGGATAAAGAAATCACCCGTGCCAGGTCTATCCTTCGAACTCAGGAGCTGTGCCTCCGGTGCAATTCTGTCCCGACTGTGGGATGTAAACACACGATGCCACGCAGGTGTAGCAGGAGCCATCGTTAGTGAGCAATGTAATGACAACGAAACGCAGACCTGGGCAAGGCGCGCTGCGCCCAAGGGGCAAGCGGGTGGCAGAGTCGCTTATTTCTCCAAGTGCTCGGCGCTCGCAGACCCGGCGCCTTCCGCCCAGCGCCCTGTGTCGGGAGAAATCATCACTATGAATTCGTATCCACATAGGGCAACGCCAGGCGGGACACAATGATCTGTCCTTCAGGACAAAGAGTGGCTCCGGGGAGAGCAGATTTTTGTCCCTCCACGCAGGTTTCTCTCCCCAGACCCCAGCCTTCAGCTTCCTCCCTTCCTGTCACGGACGCAGCCGGGGAAATTGGGGCCCAGACGCGGAGCTCACTCCGCCAGAAACCCTGGGCCCCCTCCCCTACTCTGGCAGGCTGGTTCCGGTTCCATCGTCGCGGCTGCGTTTATCCCTCCAGGGAGTGCGGGCGGAGCGCCGAGCGCGGCGCAGGGACTGGAGATCTCCCCAGCTTCGGGTTCTTTCTACTCGGAGCTGCCCGGGGGATCTCGGCCTCGCGCGCTCCCGCCGCCGTCCTGTTCCCCTCAGAGTTCATGTCCTGTTCCCGGGGCCCCAGAGGTCCCGGCTCCGAGCGGCCCCCGCGAGCTTGGGTGTCGGGGAACCACCGCTGTCGGAAGCCGCGGTTACACAAACGCCACAGGCAGGAGCGGGAGGGCACCGGCGGCGGCTGCGAGGCCGGGCCCTGACATGCCGCTGTGTCCGCAGTGAAGGAGGAGGGCGACCGCGAGATCTCCAGCTCCAGGGACAGTCCCCCGGTGCGCCTGAAAAAGCCACGCAAGGCGCGCACGGCCTTCACCGACCATCAGCTGGCGCAGCTGGAGCGCAGCTTCGAGCGGCAAAAGTACCTGAGCGTGCAGGACCGCATGGAACTCGCCGCCTCGCTCAACCTCACCGACACGCAGGTCAAGACCTGGTACCAGAACCGCAGGTGAGGCCCGGCTGCGCGGGTAGAGGCAGAAAGGGAACTTCCCCTTTCCTCACAGCTCCTGGAGGGGACCAGGAGTCTACAGGTTGGTGCTAAGGGAGCGCTCCTGAGCCTCCCCCATTCTGTAAAAGTGGGAAACTGAGGCCCTAAGGGAGCAGGCTCTGCCCAAAGTCCCCATAGTGAGGGACAGAGATGAGATTAGACTTGGTCTCCAGTGTCCAGTCAGTCCTCTCCCAGATGGGTGGACAGACACATAGGCCATTGAAGATCCAAGTCCTGCCCTAGCTCAGCCGGAGTTGGCGGGGCTGTTCCTGGGGCCGCCACGTGAATCAGCCTGGGTCTTGGAAGCCCCAGGCCCTTGAAGGGTGACAGTCTTGACGCCCAGGAAGCCTGTGAAGAGGACAGCCAGGCAGTGGCCCTTGGGGTATTGAAGCCTGGCCCAGACCAGGCAGATGCCTTAGGGGCCTCTGAGTTTCTGAGGCTCTTCAGGTCTCCCCAGACTTTCTGGTCCCAAAACGTGAGTGGGGAACTGGCCAAGCCCTTGCTCCTTGGGGACAAGGTGACTAGGAAGTTGGTGTTGGGGCACTAGACTTGAACCTGTTTCCTAATTTCCCTCCCGAACACACTCACCTGACTTAGGTGCACATGTACAAAACATACACGCATCCACACACTCAACCCAAATAGCGACACACTGACGCACACATCAATACAACTTGCAGTCACACACGCACTCACACTCAGCCCCACAGTCACTCGCACACTCTTAGCAGAGGCAGGAATGGTGCTTTTCATAAACAAGCCTCAGAACACATCGCTCCATTAATAATAAATACTGATTACTGCTCCGGGCATCAATAATTAAGGCCTGTTACAGTAATTACACAATTATGATGATGATTAATAATTCAGGGAGGGAAACAGGGCTGGTGTGGCTGAGCCCACCTTAGTGGACCCTGGCTGGTCTGCCTAGCCTCACCTGGCAGGTAAGCCTGGGCTCCAGGCCTGCCTTCTCCAAACCCCAGGCCTTTGGCTGGCCAAGGCCTCTGGACTTTGGGGCCAGACAGTGCGCAGGGCTCACACTGCAAGCCCTGGAGGGTGGCAGGTGCAGCCTGCTCCGGCCGGCAGGGCGTGCAAGCCGGGAATGCGTCCTCTCCGGTTGCCATTTCAGGCCCGCTTGCTTGTGCTAGCTTGCAGCCTGGCCAGCCTGCAGAGGAATCAACCGCATTCCCTTCCCTGACCAGAGCACCCCCATCCCCGCAGCCCTCTCCAGGGTGATCCCACCTTCATAAAGAGGCACCTGCAGGGAGGAACCCTTCTACCCAAGGGTTCGTTCTGCGATGTCCTGGGCAGGGTAAGGCGCAGTTAGAGCCGGGCTTTGGGGTCAGACAGCAGGGATTAAAACTCGGGCTCAAAACCCGGGCTCCTTTTTGAAAACTGGCCCAGACCTCAGTTTTCCTCTCTGTAAAATGGGGTAAGAGCCACGGAAGGCCGGTGGAAGATAAAAGGAGAGGATGCATGTAAGGCGTGTGATGGTGCCTGGCACTCGGTTATTTATTAACAAATGAGTATGATCCCTCTTGGACTCCTTTGGCCTCTCTGGGTCAAGCAGTGGGGAGGGGCTGGGGTCCCTGGATGCCCTAGCCCTGATCCCGCCATGCGCGTTTATTTCGGCCCCCAGGACTAAATGGAAGCGACAGACAGCCGTCGGGTTGGAGCTGCTGGCGGAGGCAGGCAATTACTCAGCGCTCCAGCGGATGTTCCCGTCGCCTTATTTCTACCCGCAGAGTCTGGTTTCCAACCTGGACCCCGGCGCGGCGCTCTACCTGTACCGCGGCCCCAGTGCGCCGCCGCCCGCTCTCCAGAGACCTCTGGTGCCCCGCATCCTCATCCACGGACTCCAGGGCGCCAGCGAGCCGCCCCCGCCGCTGCCTCCGCTGGCCGGCGTCCTCCCGCGCGCTGCGCAGCCTCGGTGAGGCGCCCGCCCGCTCCGGGGCCTCTTCCCGGGGGCTCGGCGTGGCCCCTTCCTCCCGCCTTTCTGAGGGCGCGGGTTTGACGCCCCTTCCAGGGAGCGGGCCCTGCCCGGCCCTCCCTGGCGCCCCAGCCCAGTGTCCCCCGAAGGGCCAAATGCCAAGTCCACTGAGGCCCGGACCTCGGACTGCGTCTCCCTAGTCCCCCCTCGGCGTCCTCTCTCGCGGCCGCTCTGTCCGGGAGCCACCCCCACCCGCCGGGTGTACATACGCGTCTCTGCCCCTCCCCGCCCCCAGCCTCTGCCGGCTCCCCTAGGCGCCCCTTTCTCCCCAGGAGCGGGTGCGACTGATGCCCAGGCTTCACTCTCTCCCACAACCCTTCCACGCTCCAGGTGGAGAAGAGCCCCTCTCCCCGCGCCCCTGCCAGGGAGGGAAGGGGAGTGCGGAGTCCCGTCTCCCTACCCTTCGAGCGCCTGGGCCAGCGGCTGAGCTGTACATACCGTGTGCAAAGTGTATATGAAGTTATTTATTCGTGAACCATGAGCCCGTGACCGTGTCCGTGGATTAGTGAGTCTGTGGCCTGTGCCCTCCCCACTCCCAGGCGGGGCAGGAAGGGGCTGAGGGGGCTTGCCCACCCACCCCGACCCCAGTCCCCAGCCTCAGCCCCGGTCCGGGGGCAGCCAGGCCTCTCGGGTTCTCTCTTTTTTTAAATGTCGAAATAAACTTCTTACAAATGACCAGGCGCCTGTCCGCGCTCCCGTCGCTGGGTCCACACTCAACCCCTCTCCCATCCCTCATCATGGGGGCTCGGTTTCCTTCCATCCTCAGTAACGAAACATTTTTGTCCCCCTTTTCTTCCCCGGTGCTGTGGACGTGCGCGGGGGGCCGATGGGACTCGCTGGAGCCGGGGTCTCCCCTCCCTGGCCTCAGTCTTCCCATCTCTACAGCGAGGCCAGCCCGTTCCTCCCCTCCTCCCCCTCTTGTCTCCATCTGGTTCCTCGCGGCTCCCAGACGGTCCCGAGGGCCGGGGCGGGGGTCCGTGCCGGAACAGGCGGGGGTCAACGCGGGGCCTCGGTCGGCTGCGGGCCGGGCTGCGGGGTCCGCGTCGAGACGACTCATCTGGCCGCGACAAGGGCCCCGGCAGCTGGTCACCGGCCCGCTGGGCGCGCGCCGACAGATGGGCTCCGAGGCTGCTCCCCCCATGACTCCCACCCTCCGCCCCGCGTCCGGCCGCGCTCGGGCTCCCGACGCTCGCGGGCGCCAAGGCGGCTCCGGCCTCCGGGCCTCCCGCACCAGGCAGGGCTCCGCGCGCCTTCGCTGCGAACCAGACGCCACATCGGGTAAAGCCCCACTCCCACATCTTCTCACCTCCCCTTTACCCCGGGAGGAGGTTGGAAATGAGACCCGCAGGGGAGCCAAATCTCAGCGTCTGCCTCATCTCTTCTGGCTGCCCCAGACCGCAGCTCTAGCATCTCAGGGGAGAGGGGTTTAAGTCCCGAGTCAGACTCGAGGCTTCCAGTTCACGTTCAAAGGGCCATGGTCACCTGAGACTGTTCCCTCTCTGGGGAGGTGGGCGCAGGTGCTTCCCTCCCACACACCACCTGCAGCTCGCTAACCCTCAGCGCGGGGAAGTTTTGGGGGGCTCTAGTTTGGGGGCAGGGTTTCTCTGAAGATGGGGGCCGTGTTCAGACTATAACCCCTCTCGAAAACCAGACCCACAGCCAGGTCCGCTACTGTTTCCTCCCTGCCCCCCAACACTCGCGCACAGCAGCTTTCTTTCCTGGGATGGCAAGGGTATTATTCTGATTTTGCAAAATGCACAGCAGCTAATTAAGTCAAGGAGCCCCTCGGCTTTCGAGTTCTTTTGCATGTGAATGGGGGTTGGTAAATCCCCAGCTCTGGCTCTGGTGGGGGGCGAGGGGAGACTGTCCCCAACTCAGGGTTAATGAAGTGGGAAAGGAGTCTCTCATAGCCTCCTGCAAACAAAACCCCCCATGCAACAAACCCTGCCCAAATCCTACATGGATTGACTTAAACCCAGGGGATAAGTGCTTTAAATTAATCTCATTGAATAAGAATGAGACCAAACAAAACTCTTTAAAATCATATTAAAAATCTATCAAAGGACAACTTGCACTGGTGTGCTTTTCATTTTGTGAAAGTGAAGGAGATAGACGGTAGCAACCACCCTCACATTTACACAGTGGCAGCGCAAACCACAGACACATTCTCAACTATGTAATTGTCCTTGTACCTCAGAGGCGATTTCATATCTTACATTAATGAAGAACAAGGCTTCCCTACAAGTTTATAATTAGAATATTTTAAATTGTCCTGCACATCCCATCTGCAATAATAACTTCACAACCTTTGCAGTGAGGTGGGCTCCTGCCTTCCACCCACTTAGAAAGCTAAATTGGTTTCTGTTCCCAACCCTGAGGTTGGGCGAGCTCTCATGTAAGAAAAAAAGAATAAATGTGGGACCCCAACAGGCCTGACAATAGGAGGGGGCTGAGAAGGCATCTTCTCCCGCTGCGCCACTGACCCATTCCCCCTCATAAACGTCGACTCCACAGGGAGGGGGCAACAAAGCTGAAAAGAAGTTGAGAGCTCCCTGCTGGCCCTTGGTCGTAAGGGAAATTGAGGACTGGGGCAAGTTGAGAACCTGAGCTGATTTTCAGGGTGCCCACTGCCCGACACTGACAGGCCTGGCTCTGGATTCTTCCTACTGTGGAGCGGATTAAGAGATAATGTCTAATGGTCAGGGGGGAGGTTTAACAAGACCAGTTAAGAACCCTTTTCAAGCAGGGCAACTTCTCCAGTGGAAAAGCCTTCAACTTGTGTCTCTACGAAGCAATGCTCGGATTTTAATGGCTTCCACTGACTGTGGCCTGAAGGGTTAAGCGGGGAGGCCCCTGGCAGTTTGGGAAGATACCTGCTCCGAAAGGTCTCATTTACTTCCCTCTTCCCTAAAGTTCTCCTCCCTTCACTCCAGGGGGAAAAGAAAAAAAATCAAAGTAACCCACTGGGCTTTAAAAAAAAAAAAAAAAAAAGTCCTTTACTGAGATTTGGTTGGCTCATTGCTTCTCTAGAGTGGAAGGGGCTGTCTGCACATCAGCACTGACTTCATCTCTCAGCAAGGGCTTTCTGACCTTCAGTGCGTGAGAATGAGGCCCGTCAACTGCTAAGGCTGTGGCAAACATGAGGATGTTCTGGATTCCAAAAAAACATTCTACAAGCCCACTTGGGGGAAACGCTTTTAGGCGGCAACATTCTATTAAATGTCCAAATTCTGTGTGACTCTAACTATGGGAACCAGGCTTACGATATAGAGACGTGGGTAAGTTTGGGAAATTTTAAAAAGAGGCATGGTTAAACATACACACAAAAATTAGAGTATGTACAGTGGAATTAGGCTCAAGCTTTGCCTAATTGATGCCTGAAATGTATAATCTGTTAAGAGCCGTAATAAAAGAGAAAGAGATTTATTTTAAGGTTATTTAAATTTAAACAATATTAACCTTAAATCTGCTAAATCCATGTTTCTTTATTAACTGGGGTAATATATTGATTCTACTCAGACCCACATAGCATCTATGGCAAGAAACCCTCACCGTAAGAGTTAGCAGATGAGGTGTGTAAGTTTTGATCTCGGAATGACCGTCACTCACACGATGCACGATTCTAGCACTCCTCTTTCCCCCTAGGCATGCAGAACTCTGCCAGTTCGCCCTTTAGTGGAATGAGTACTAGGGGGAGAAAAAGTCAGGTTTCTCTTTGATCATCCCCAATCACTGGCATTAATCCTGTTTTTCACACAGCTGGGTTTTGTCTATAAAGTTTGAACCCTCCTTTTCTCATCCAAATCATGTGAGCCATTACACATCGAAATAAAAGTAAGGTGGCAGATTTGCCCAAAGTCAGGCTGACATGTGCTACAGGGTTGTTGTTTTTAAATTATTATCGTTAGAAACTTCACCAACAGTCCCTGTTAATTTGTATGTGACAGCCAACTCTGAGAAGGTCCTGTTTTTCCACCTGCAGAGGATCCAGTCTCACTAGGCTCCTCCTCGCCCTCACGCTGGAGTCCCTGCCGGTGTGGGTGCCCACTGACATTCACCTGTGTCTAGAACGGTGGCAAGGATGCTGATCCCCCGTGGTCCCTGCGGGAAGGCCCACTTTGCCAACTCTCACCACCCTCTCGTGGCCACCTAGGCCTTTCATGGATCTAGGGGTATCTGCTGAAGTGGTGCCTCAACACTGGTCCTGGGGAGACCACGGAGGGTGGCACCGTCACTGCAGAGGAGAAGGGAAGTGAGAAAGCAAGAGACAGCGGAGAGGACAGGAGTGGTGCCCAGTGGTGTGGAGGCCTTCACCCCTTTCTCTTCTGGACCCCTCTGCAAGTGCCCAAATCTTACATTTATTGGGAAATCAATACGCTCTAGGGGGCCTCTTTCAAACCTCCCAGAAAACACAATGCAGGGGCGTGGGGGGTGGGGGGGCAGCTGTGGCCTGGGTCACAATACAAAGACCCCCAGACCTTTCTTGAAGACAAGACGGGATTTGATAGGGAAAAAAAGCTTGGGATACTGGGGCCTTTTGACTTCAAAGGCAAATAATAAAAAGCCAACAGTAAATCAATTAGCCTGAGAGAATGAGTTTTCCATGGACATAAAAGAAGGAACAATGCATGTAAATGCAATCTCGTGTTTCCAGAGGAAAATAAGAGGGATCACGAGCCTGAAAACACATTCGTATTTTTTGACCCAGCCCAAAAACTTTTTGTATTTTCTTCTCTCTTTGTACAAATTCAATTCCAGTTTTTAACACCCTAATTCACAAAATTCATGCCAATGTATGCACTGATAGGTAGGCTGAAGTCAAGCTGTGAAACTTCAGGACACAGGTAAGGGCAGCAATCAACCCCGTTCCAGACTGACACGCAAGACGTTCTTATACCACGTCCCAGAGTGCCAGCTCAACCCCGGCATGTCAGCGCCTGGGTGAAGGGAGTGCCGGGTACTGACGGGATCAATGCAAGACACAGACCCCTTCCATCGGGAGCTGGCTAGTCTCTATGGTGCCCCACACCACTGATTTCTATCAGGCTCCAGGGCCTCCCACGGAGGAAAAGGGCTGTGGCCCCTCTGATTCTTGGGGACGTGGTATTCAGAGAAAGACAGCAGTTGTTTTTCACAAGGCTCCTCTGACAAGAACAGGACATCAATCTACTGCCACCCAGGGCTTCCAGGATCCACTCGAAGATCCAGAGAGATTTTAAACTTTCTGGGAAGTCTTGCTGTCCTGCTGTAAAGCTTTCTGGGTTTTTCTCCATTTTAATGTTTTCCCATGGCCAAAGCAGGGTGTCGGCTGCAGACTGGGCCACAGGGGCCGGCTACCAGGCTCTCCGGGTGCGTTTTGCTTTTTGACTTTGGCGACGCCAGGCTCTATGCCACTTGAGTATTCCGAACGTAGGATTTCAGTAAGGCTGTGTTTACTCTGGGTCTTCTTATGAAGGTCAGGCCTGAAGAACAGTAACGGCAGAGAGGGAAAGGAAACTTTATTATTACTATTTTTCTTTCCCATTTGGAAAGAGGCTGATAGCAGCTGGTTCTGAGGCTGTGAAGCTGACATTTTTGTATTAACAGAAGTACAATTCCTTCAATGGCACTTGTTTTGATATTCTATGCACCAGAAGATTAGATACGGCGCTGACAGATTTTCATAACGGTGGCAAAATACCATGGCATTTTTAAAAGTGAGGCTTTGTTCTGTGTTGTTTTCATGGGGAAAAAAAGAACTATACACCCTCATGCTCTGATGGCAAATGAGGTGTATGATACAGCGGTTTGCCAAAGGACGGGGAGAAACCCACCGTCACACTCAACAACATGAAGCAGTGAAAGCTTGCGGCAGCTTCCCGGTAACCCCCAAGCAGCTTAAAGCAACTGGCCTCCTCACGGGCTCCCGAGGGCCTCAGGACTCAGCCCTGCGGGAGCAGAGTCCAGCAAGGTCTATGCAGCCCTCCGGGGTCCCAGAGTGATGGCTGGGATGAGAGCCTGATACGAATGGAATCATATGAATGGAAAAAACTATTAAACATATTTCTGAGCCTACAAAGCCCAAACCCAGGGCACAGCCTGGTCAATGTCTGCACTGAGGATTAGACCAGCAGCTCTCTCCAGCCCACACAGACCCGGGTGTTAGAGGGAGGCTTCTCCCTGCCCTAAGCCACTCAGAAAATGCCAAGGGTAGAAAATCAATTTCAGATGTCAGATCCTGATAACTGTCCTGAAAAGATGGCAATTTTACCATTTAATCAGAAGACCAGAGGAGGAAATTTATAGATGTTCAATCATACATCAGAAGAATGATCATGAAAATTGAAGAGTAAAATAATGTTGCTTAAGACAAGATCTTAACCAAAGCAACAACAATAAAACAATTACCAATGGGGCCTTGTTGGCAATTCCTTCAGTACCAAAATGGCAGTGTCTTAGGACACTACAGTGTCATGGGGTTGTCACAAAGACATACATTACATTCTGCTACTACGTTTATAGCATTCTCTTTGCTGCAATCAGAGAATAAACTGAACTGAAATTGTGGTCAAAATAAATGTAACAGAATGCCTTAAAACCCAAGAATTAGAAATAAGACTAATACTATGTTATTAACCTGACTGTGAAAGCTTGTAGAACCCATTATAACCGAGCTGAAGCAATAATACCTGGTTATAATCACACTCCAGAGGACAGGGTGACAGTCATACAATGGTGTTTTCTATTGTAACATACAGGAAGACACATTCAAGCCAACCTCTGCGGGAAAAGAAGATCTGAAGCAAGGGGACAGTGAGGAGATAACATTTAAGGGCCAGGAGTTTATGGGGTGAGCACATTAGGGCAGGATGTAGTGAGAAGATTAGAAGTATACAGGGAAGACATCCTGGGGTTTGTGGGAAATGATTCATGTATACGACCTCCTACAATCCTCTCTCAACTAGGTGGGTATGGTTATTATCCTCATTTACAGACAAGAACACAAAGACCCAAGGAGGGTAACTTGCCCCAGGACCACATGGCTGGTAAGTGGAGAAGCCGAGGCAAACTCAGGGCAGAGAACGATTTGCAGGGTCAGGCAGGGCAGGAGGACTCAGCTGGACCAAGGGTGGAAAATGGCTGAGATGTGACAGGAGGGGTCCTCTGTGGTCTCCTAAGGACTACTTCAGCAGGACAGTGGGGTAGGAGCCAGGCGACTGAGTAGGGAGTGGTGAAGGGAGACGGCAGAGCCATGGGGCGGAGGAGGGAGAAGCCGGCATTGGAACTTGACTGTCACTCATCAGCTGAGGACACGGAATGAGCAACTCAGGCTCCGTGCCTCAGTTTCCTCACTGAGAATGGCGCTCATAGGTGTGAGGATTAGAAAAAATTAAGACGTATAAGGGGGTAGCTGGTAGTTGGCATGTGGATCACAATCACAGTTAAACATTAGGAAACAGGTCTGCAGATGCCACGCACCTCCCCCAGAGCCACCCAGGAGCCAGGACTGGTGCTACAGCCCCTGACAGCTGCCGAGGGCTCTTCCGACAGCATCCACCACTTCCCAAAGAGCAGTGAGCCTCATCATGGGTCACCCACCCATGCGGACTGAGTGCACCGGGCCGAGCCGCGGGGGGCTGACCTGTGGTTGGGAAGTGGCAGGAGACAGAGCCTGCGGTTGGGCGCACTCAACTTGTTCCAAACTGAGGGCTGCCAGTTCCTGTGCCTGTAGTTTATTTTTAGTCAGGTTATGTGACAGAGTGAAAAGGGTCTGACAGGAAGGAATGCTTTTTCTTCCCTCTTGTTTGAAGCCAGGTTCACAATGTGTATAATTTTAAATGTAACAACCTAAGTTTCAAAATATGCAAAATTTCAGTCAAAATATTCTCCCCAGCATAAGCTCCAGCACTTCAATGATGGCTCCTGTTCCCGCTAAGGCAAAATAAAGAACCCGCATCTTATTGGGGTGACTGATACACTAACTGCCTACAGAGGCGGTGCGGGCTGCAGGAGCATCTTCCAGACACCAGCACTCAGGCAGTGTGCCCATGCTCTCAGGCTGCCATCCACCCAAAAAAGCAAAGGCCTGTACCCATGAACGCAGCCTACACAACAGGCAGACACCCACACACCACCAGGGCCACTTCCACAGCTCCTCAAGACCTGTCCCTTCGCAGACAAACACTGTGGGTCTGGGGTGGAGGAAGGCAACCACTAGGATGTACACTGCGCCACTGAGTAGGAAGAGGAGAGCCCATGTGGTGGAAGAGGATGTACGTCTTGGAGATGGGGCCTATGCGCCTTCAGTTATCATCACCACCTTTCCTGGCTATTTCATCACGTTAGCCAATGTCCTTTCAACCCGGGATACAAAGCCAGCAGTCCACACACTCAGAGGTTCCGGTGGTCAGCAAGCAGGCAGAGGGTGGCATTTTCCAGCCCAGACCTCTTCCTTAAGTGGGAGAAGCTCAGGCCAACCCTGCAGGGGTTTCACCTGCTGTCACAACAGCCACCTCAACAAAACCCATTTATCCCTTGGCCAGCTCCCTGTCTCCTTGTCCTTTGTTCCAAGGCCCAGTGCTGAAAAGGCGAAGTACAGATGGGAAGATGAACTACTCTAAACCCAAACATGCGATGGGCGCTCAATTTCTCCCTCCGCCAAGCTGCAATGCTCCCAGGAACCTGCCAACTTTCTCGCCCTCCTTCCCCTCCAAATACCCGCACCCCTCTCCAATGGCCTTCCTGAGCATCCACCATAGTAATCCTGTAGTTACCAAGCAACAGATCAGTTTATCTAACCACAGGGAACTCCCTTGTAGTGAAGGCTGAATAAACCCCTCCCCAGTTACCAGGCTGGATTACTCAGCATGACAGGCAGATGCCACTTGCACCGCCAATAAGGTGAAATCACAGCCTAATTAGAAAATCAATACACCCTGTTACAATGACCACTGGAGAAGAGAGTTCGCAGGGCCTTCTCCCAACTTCATCATTAAATTCTCAGAATGAGCTTCCTAGGTAAAAAGCCATTCGAATTCAGGCTTTTGTTAATGGCATTCTGTTATAGGACAGAAGTTTAAATTTTATTTATGTACTGTTAAGTATCAATAGTTTCTTCCAAGTTTTATGGCTTTAGGGTCATGTTTTGAAAAGTCTTCATCCCAGGATTTCAAAAATATTGAAGTATTTTTTCATCTAGCTTGCTACTGCTTTAATTCCATCTAAGTTTTATTTTGATTAATAGAGAAATGAACTGTTTCTTCCTAAGAGTTATTCAGTTATCCACAACGGTCACTGAACAATACATCTTTTCCCCAAGGTTTTGAAAGGCTCCTTTAGAGCACTTCCTGCAGGCTCTGTTTGAAGAGCAGTGATGACCACAATGGCGTCCTGAATGGGCTCTACAAATAGATGAAAACATTTAATCGAATACCAATTACATGGGCTGTTAATGGATTTAAATATAAAACAGGTCAAATCAAAGTCATTCAAATGACTACATGACGTAGGCATTTAACTCACTCACTTTTCCAACCACCATCTGAAACAGGTACTACTAGTATCCCCACTTCCTGGTAAGGAAACTGAGGCACAGAAGGATTAGGTCATTTGTCCAGGGCCACAAACCAGTAATGCAAGAATGTGAACTCAGGAAATCTGACCTCACAGAGTTGAACCATAGCAGTCTGCCACCATGCTACAGTTTTCAAAACAAGGGGCAAATTCCTGGCATAAAATGTTTTTAATATACATAAATCTGTATGTCTGTATGTATATGTGCAAAGTCTGAAGGATAAAGGAAATGTATCAGGGTGAACCTGAATGTGGGCTTATGGGTAATTGTTGAGCTTTTCCCTAGGTCCTGTAGTTTTACAATGAGCATGCATTATTTTTATAACTAGAAAATAACAGTATATTCACTCTAAGGGGAAACAAAAGCAAACGGTAGAATTTTGTCCAATAGTGAAAGGCCAGAGTATTTTAATTTCTACTAATCAGAAACCTCTCTGCCTTTTGCCTTTGAGCTGGTTTGATTCTGCGAGGCTGTAGTACAACTAAAACACAGACAGACAGACAGAGGGGGGGTCTTCAGACAGACTGAGGACTGATGAAGCACACTCCTCTGATCTGATGTTCCAGGGCCACGGCTAGGCCCTGAAAGTCTCTGCTGAGGACACAAGTCCCCCAGGTGGGAAGAAAAGCCTGGGCTCTCAGTGAACGCAGGAGACAGCGATGATTTCGGGTGGCCCGGGGCTGACTGAGTCCCTACATTTGTGCCTGACTCCATGGATGACAAAAAGGTGGCCATGCTCTGGGTAGGGTTTTGGTGGCTCTCAGGTCACAGTGAGGGTAACAGGCAACTCCAGGGGAATGTGACAAGCGGGCCCTCCGTATGCTTGTACACAGAGGAGCTGAGGTAAAGAATAAGCTGGTGTGAGATGCCATGATAATTTCACCTTGACGTGGGCCGGCCCAGGGAGGA